GGAGGCGCGGTTCTCCAGGCCTGTCCCTCGCCCACTCAGTGGGAATGAGAACCCGCCTGGAAGGACGCTCTGCCCGCCAGGTCCCCGAGCCCACAGCCGTCCGTCTGCCGTCTTGTCCCCCTCCTCCCCGAGCTCTTCCTCTCCTGCCCTGATCCCCGGCCCCCACGCCGTCCCCAGGATCGCGCTGTTCCCCCGCAAGGCGGTGACCATGTGCACGGCCCCCAGGAGCACAGGACGAGGGTTGACCAACCACAGTCTGTAGAGCACAACAAGGGGGACCCGGAGACCGTCGGGGGCAGGGGACAGGCGGGGGAGAGACCCGTGGGGAGTGGGGAGAAGAGGAGAGACAGGCAAGGAGCTGCGGCGACGCCTTGGGAACATGACGTGTTTGACCTTCGGAAGGAGATGCCAACGGCCACGGACACGGTGAACCTTCGGGCCTTGCAGGGGGGAAATCTCCATGGGCTTCTTGGGCCTCCCCGATCCCGGCTGTATCTGGGTTCTGCTCCACGGTGGCCAGCCCGGCCTGGAGAGGGCCTCTGTCCACACACAGAACTTTTCCTCCCGACAGGCCGACCCAGGAGCAGACCCCCGGGGTCAGACCAGGGCAGCTGAGCAATCGCACAGGTGATGGCCTTGGCTGAAACTTGCGTGACTGTGACGCATCCCTTTTTAAAGACCGGAACGTTCGGTCTGTCCACAGGGGCTCGCCGACGGGCCCACGACAGCACCTGCCCCTCTATGCCCTGCACGCACGCCGCAGGCCTCAGTCTGTGCCAGCTCAGTGGCCTGGCCTCTCCCCCGCCTGCCCCGGCTGCCTGCTAACAGCGTCTTTCCCTTCATCCTCAGGGCGGAAGCCCCGTCTCAGGGAGGCCCTCCCAGGTGTTCAGTGAAGGTCCTGCGGAGCACCCCCCCGCCCCTGCCCGCCATCACCGCTCGTCCTCACCCCCCGCGCACGGCCACCTGCCCCCAGAGCCCAGGCTCCCCGAGGGCGGGAGGGCAGACTGCCTCTGCCCTGTTCTCTCCCCATCCCCTCCAGCTCGATGCTCAGCCCTCAGCGGGGCACCTCGGAGCAGCTCCCTGAACATTTGCCGAGCGAATGAACCCTGTGCCTTCTCTGTGCTTCCGCGGCCGCGGCACCCCTCCTCGCCGCCACTTTCCGCAGACGCGTTTGCCCCGCAGGGTCCAGACGTGCGGGCCCTACCCCGGCGGTCATCGCGGCGGCCGCTTCCGTCTCTGCAGGTCTCTGCTCTGCTGGTGGTGCCGGGGATCATTTGGGGACACAGGCTGATGCCAGGAAGGATAACAGAGAACAGTCGCTGGCCGAGCCCCTTCTGGGCCCCCAGGGCCGCCACAAGGAGAGACGCAGAGACGTAAAAACAGCTGCGGAAGCTGAGCCACGCGAAATCCGTGAGCCAGGTCGGCCAGGCCTGCAGCCTGGAGCCAGGACGTGGGGATCTCAGCGAGTAGCTACCAGCCAGACACGCGCCGGCCACCAGGGGTGGCTCCCGCGCCCTGGGAGGGTGACAGAGACCTTCCCGGTGCAGGCAACACAGGCAAGCCCTTCGTCCTTGCGTGTCCCAGCCCGGGGACGTTAGCGAGCTCCCTGGGTGGCACCAAGGACGGGCGGGAAGCATCTGGCGATACTGCATTATTTTGCAGTTTTAACTAATTAGAGCATCTCAAACCTCTCTTGTCTTTAATTTAAGCTGACCTTTGGAGCTTGACCTCCAAAGGTCAGCTTCTCTTGCGGAAAGCACCGAGTTCCAGATGGTGTCCGTCAACAGCAACCGCAGCAGGCCGACGCAGCAGCACCGGGACAGCACGTTTCCGTGTGGAGCTTCCCAGGGTGTCGGGAGGGTCTGGGCTCGGGCAGTTCCGTGCACCTGCTCAGGGCAGACTGTTGGGTCAGACGGACCTGCCCTCCCGGCACCCGGGTCTGGGGGCCGAGGTCTGGCAAGCGGAAGGCCCCCTTCTCCTGAATCAGGCTGCCCATGTGAATTGTCTCATCAAAGAAAACTACCCGGACACTGCGCCTCATTAGGAAAAGACACCTTGAGATCATCTGATCTGGGGCTGCCGTTAAGTTGAGTTCCTAACCTTCCCAGCAGGAAAGGCTTTTTGGCTGGAGCCCCGCTGCCCCAGCAGAGGGGACCTTCAAGCAGGCCTGCGGTGGGTCGCTGGGTGACTGGAACAGAAAAGCTGTGCTTTCTGGCCTGCCTCTCCCTCCTCCTGGGGTGCACTCAAAGGCTGATGGGGTCACCAGGACTGCCTCCACCAAAGGGCCAGACTCCTGGCTCTACCCAACTGCCCCAGGGCATCGTTCCAGCCCAGCCCCGGCTATAAACCAGCCTCCCGCCCCCTCACTCAGCCACCTGGAAAGCTCACTTTTGCTTATCTCTGTTCGCGTTTGCATAAGATAAGGCTAGGGAGGGGCCACAGCCTCCTGGGGCTGGGTGGGGGGGGTGTTAGGAGCTCACTGGTCTCCACCCCCCACCCAGGGTCTTGTCCTTCCTTAACAAAGGACCAGATGTCACCCTGAAAAAGACACCTGTCTTGGAGGCCCCAGCGAAGGGCAACCCTCTTTGCTGAGGTGGGCCAGAGCCCCGGGTGCCAAAGGGTGACCTTCCACACTTCATTCTCCTGCGGAAGCAGATGGGCAGGACTCGGGCTGGTGGGAGACTGCATCAGAGTCCGCGAGGAATTCTGAGGGCACGCGGAGGGTGACCTTGGAAAAGGCTCCTGACCTTGTAGCTCTCCACCTACAAAGGAAGGAGTAGAGGGCGCACCCACAAGCCCCTCCCGCCCCCGCGGCTTCCCACCCCTGGCTCTGTTGTTGACAACTTGGGAGATTTTTCTGCAAGGGTGTTGTTGGCGGGGCTCTAGCAGGCGTCCAGCTAGGGTGGACTGAAGCCGCGTACAGTTGGTATCATGCGTTCAGAGACCTTATACATGAGCCTACAGAGCATTCTAAGGTGCTTGAGCAGGAAGGGACCACAAGAACCTTCCGGCTGGGAATTTTTTAACAGATGATATAAGTCCTTGTGGGTTTACATGACCGTAGAGTCACCAACGTCATCATCATCCTGACAACCCTCTGCCAGGCACCCTCCCGCCACCACCTCTGTTTATCCACCAACGCTCACTGCCCAGGTGGGGGAGGCTGAGGCTCAGACAGTGAAGGTGAGGCAGGGGTAAGAAGCCACAAGCCCCGGCAGGCCTAGGCGTCGTTCCTGCCGTCTGGCACTCTGGTTCTAGAAAAGATGATGTCAGCCTGCGTGGGTAAGCATGTTACTGCCCGGGCACCTCCTGCAGGAAAGTTGCTGCGACGACCCACACACTCACCCCTCAGGCTTGCCTCACGGTCACGAATGGGAGCATCTGGGGGCACGTGGTCTCTGGCTGGCCAGTGCTACAAAGCCCCATTGCACCACGGATAGAAGGTGCCAGACGCGAGCAAGCAGAAAGATTCCCACTGCCCGGCTTCGTGGTCCTGTAATTTCCAGAGACTGTGTTTTCTGCTTGGAAGGACAGAGTGGAAAAGCTGTGGTGGGTTCTGGCGTCGGACCTGGGCTCAAGTCCCAGGTCCCGTTGCTGGGATTCCCAGCAGCCCGCCTGCCCTCTCCTGGTAAGTTACAGCGCGACACAACCACAAAGGCCAGTGGGCTCAAGTTCATCTCCCCTCCCGGGGAGAAAAATCAGCCCCCTTTGTCATCTGAGCCACAGAAAATCTCCATTAAAGCCTTGTGATTCCAACCCCCGGGAGGCCTTCGGGTCCACAGAGCGACTCCTTCATGCTCTCGTGCTGTGGCCACGGAGAGATTCAGGCTTTGGGACTTAGGATGTTTTTCTACGCTTCTCTCTGTGTATTTCTAAAAACTGAGGTATAACTCACGTGTGTGCGCCCAGGAGAGTAGATCACCTCCTGAAACCGTAGCAGTCTGCGACGAGACGAGAACCTGACGAGGTCCGAGACCAACAACCCTCATTTCCGAGTAAAGCGGTGAGCAGAATCCTGAACCGAACCTGGTTTCAACTTTACCGCTCAGCCTTTCCTGCTGCTTATACCTTTTATGGCCAAAACAGGACTGAAAACTGCACCAGGCAGCGGCCTCCAACGTTGTCAGGAGCAGTGGTCACACAGAGGAGCCGGTGTGGGTGCCACGGCCTGGGGTCTGCCGGTGGGTGGGGGGCTCCAGACCGGCCCCCGGCCCCGCGGCCGCGAGCTCACCTCAGCTAAAAGCAAGGGGCATCGCAGTCCCCGTTCTGTCGGTAGCAGCACTGACGGAAATCTTCTAGCCACAGGCGGCCAGAGCTAGGCCAGGCGTGCCCGTGGGATTCTCAGCCTCATCCTGGGCTCGGGACGCCGGAGAGCCAGGGTCCCCATCACGGACGCTCCTGTCTGCTGACAGCTCTCGGGGAGGCCACGCCGGGTACTTAGGGTGACTTAGAAGAGAGCCTACCAGTAAGTGCTGGTCATGGAGAGACGCCATGGGGCGGGGGCCGCCTGCGGGTCAGTGCTGCCAGAGAAGGCAGGGAGCCGTCTCAGAATTTCCTCTCGGGAACGTCTCGCTTGGTATATATTAGTTTACGGAATGCCTCAGTGGTGGGATTTCAGCTGCTACTTTTTCATTCAAAAGGCATCATTTTTTTTAGATTATAGAAAATTCTGGAAACCTTCTAGGACTGGGGTGAGTCTCGGAAAAGGTTTCCCCCGGCTTCTGGCCGCCCCACAGGGAATGGGGTCCCTGCCGCCACCTGGTGGCAGCTCTAGCTTCTGCACTCGCTCTGCCCAGCTGGGGCAGGGGACAGGGACGGAGGTGAACACAGCCAAGTCCCACCTCCCACGGGGCCCACCTTTCGGTTTGTCCTTTCTGCAGGACATCAGTCTTTCCAGAGGGACCTTGTGTGACCCCCGTGTGGTTAGACGTGCTCCCCGCAAAGCCCAGGGCAACGAAGAGGCACACTAAGACACGAGTCCCGCTGGTCTCGTTTTCCAGGGATCCGTGGCGGCCCCTTGGAAAACCACTACAGGCTGAAGCAGTTCCACTTCCACTGGGGAGCGACGGACGAGCGGGGCTCGGAGCACACGGTGGACGGCCGCGTGTACCCAGCAGAGGTTGGTAGATGTGCTGCCGCAGCTACGGGGCGGCTTTCTCCGTCCTGGCCTCTCACGGAGGGTGTAGGGGGACCGGCTGGCTTGGTTGCCCAGGAAGGGAGCATTCCCCGGACACGGGACTCTGGGGGCTCAGACCGGAGCAGTGGGTCGCCCTACGCATTCAGTCACACAGCTATCCTAAGACCAGGGTACCATTCACACTTCAGTCTAACAGAAGGAGAGACCGAGGTTCTAAGCAGCTCTGTGACTTGCCAAGGTCAGCCACTGGGATTCAAGAGTTGCTCCCTCTGCCACGTGCCCGCTGCTGGTCAGTTATGGACTAGAAGCTTCCGGTCCTTCAGGGCACTTGGGGCCTTCGATGGAGACCTGAAAATCCTTACAAACAGAGATCATCTTCTTGAAAGGACGAGACGTTGGCCTCGTTCCAAAATGGGACTCTGTAGGGAAAACCGGTAGGGATAAATGTCAGGAGTTGGTGTTCGTAGCTATGACAGGGCAGCAAGGGAATCACCCCAATATTTTAGCGGCCCTGGAGGAACTGTTCGGTGAGACCCTGTGAGGCCACCCCAGGTCCGACGGTGAGCAACCGGCCACATTCACTTTATCACTCCTCTTTCCACACTCCCGTCCCTCCGTCCACCCACCGACCCCCCCGAACCAGGCTTTAACAGAAGAGGTCGCTGCATAGGGAGCAAGACCGGAACCTGGGCCCGCCGGTGGCTCTCCCTGAGCCAGCCGAGCCGGGGCTGCAGGGCCCATTCTGGCCAGGCCTCTGGCCCGTGTGGGGGCGTCCGTTTCCCGCGGGGTTTGGAAGGCAAATCCACTTCGAAGCTGGGGTCTCTGAAGGAAGCTGCCTGCCGCTGGGCCCAACACCCCGACTGGAGTGCCCGTGGACCGCGCACCCTTGGCAAGGAACCCCGGCCCTGGAACCCAGCAGCTGCCTGGGGAGGGTCTTGGTGACCACGACAGGCTGCAGGGCTTTCTGGACTGTTGGTGTGGACTTGGGGCTTGGGTCGCCATTCAGAAAGACCTCTAGCCCAGCTCATCCCGTAGAAGGACCTCTGTGTAGACACCCGGGCCCCTTCTTTGCTCTGGGCCAAGCTTGGCCTTGGGAGGACGTCACACGGAGCCCACGCCAGGCCCCGGCACCAGGCCTCCCCTCTTCCCCGGCCCATCCTCTGCCGCTCATTTAAGTCCTTGCCAGCAGGCCAATTCTGATGCCGAGTTTGGGCTCGGCAAAACCCGAGGAGAGACGGAAAATAGAGGCCTAGATGAGGTTCCAAAGAGAATGACGGACATGGGGAGAAAATGCAATTCGGATGGCATTAAAGATTGGGTGTCGTTTATCTGAAGCTCAAATTTAAATGAGCGTCCCGGAGCAGGTCTGGCAGCCTCCCTCAGGTCTCTGGGAGAGAGGACACCTTCCCGCCACCAAGTCCCATCTCACCCCGTGAAGCCGAGCTTCCTTCCCCTCCTCCGGAAGCACCCAAACCCTTATTTTCTGCGGTTCTCGCTTGGGAGCCCCAGACAGGCCACACACCTGAATCCAGTCAAACCGGTAAACGGAGCAATGGGTGCCAGGTCTGGCCGGGGAAGGAGGAGCAGCTGCGGGGTCTGGCTGAGTCGGGACCAACGTCCTGCCTTTCTCCTCCCTCCAGCTGCACTTAGTTCACTGGAACTCGGTGAAATACCGAAATTACAAAGAAGCCGTAATGGGGGAGAACGGCGTGGCCGTGATAGGCGTGTTTATAAAGGTAACTTCGTTCGGGCTCCCCCCCAACCCTGAAGCAGGTGACCCCCGCCTGTGGAGTGGGGAGTGGGCTCGCCCGCCCGCCGCCTTCTCCAGCGGCCGTTCCCGTCTGTGCTGTGCAGCTGGGGGCCCGGCACGAGGAGCTGCAGAAGCTGGTGCGAGTCTTGCCGGAAATAAAGCTTAAGGTAAGGGGCGGTCGGCACAGCCAGAGGAGCGCGTCTGCTAGAGGGATGGCTCGTTCTCAAGGACAGGAGATCGGTTGGGTGGAAGGGTCTGGCCGAGGGCGTGTCTGAGGCCCATCCTACGGCTGCGACCCCTGGGCTCACTCCAGCGTGTCTCCATAGAGCTCACTCCCTGACGCCTGTTGTCCCTGACGTCCCTGCCGCCCGTGGGCCCCTCCCTCCTCAGTACAGGGGGGGCTGGACTCCGTCTGAGTTTCCCAAAATCCAGCCTCTCAGGCAGCGTCTTAAGGTTTCTGCCGTGTCCACCTGTCGTGGGCACTATTCACTTCGTAGCGTTTTTCCTTAAACGGATCAGCTCGGAATAATCTTTCGACTTGTCCCGGCTGATGACATCTACCAGGATAATATCTGTCTTAAAACCGACGGCAGTAAATACCCAACTGTCGTTCAGGGGTGCCCACACGCATGCCACCTGCCACACCCCCGCGGCGGGATGGTCGGGCCCCCACCCGGGAGAGCAGGGCGGCCGCGGGAAGGGAGAAAGCTGCGCCCGCCAGCCGGCTCGCCCAGCGAGGGCGTCCGCGTTCGGCTCCCCTCCCGCCCTCGGTGCCGGAGCTCAGCTGAAAAGACGAGGACAACAATGTAGCTTTTCTCCAGCAGCAGCTGAGAAAGGACTTCCACCGACACGTGGAAATTCCAAAGAGATGGCGTTTGTTTGTTTGGTACCAAACAAAAGAATTCCGGGACGTGAGGAGTCCCGGGGGTCCCTGGATGGGGACGGATGGGCCCGGGCCTGTCGCAACAATGGCCCGAGCGGCTCCAGATGAAAGCGGGGGGCCAGCCCTTCCTCAGCGGCTTCGCGGGGTCTGTTTGATGTGGGCGGTGTGTTCCCCTTGATGTTGACCTCGGGCCGGCCCAGAGGGACCAAGACCAGATCCCCCCCTGCTGCCCCGTCCGTCCGCAGGTGCAGGAACTTCCCAAGGTCAAGGTGCTGGGAGCAGCCTCTTCCCTGCTGGTCCGCAGCCAGAGTAAACCGAGGCTGTTTTCCCCGTGCGCCCGCCTCCCCCACGGCGTGGCCTCCACCTCTTGGTGGGAAGGGAAGGACCTGGCCGCAAGGGGCTGTTTACTCTGGGGTCTGTTTTCCTTCCACGGAAGCTCTGGGGTGCGTCTGGTCCCCCAGGGCCGTCTGGGAAAGCCACATGGGAAAAGGGGTGTCAGTGAGGGTGCAGGGAGGGGGGAGCGCCTGGGCCTCACTTCTGGGCCTGATGCTCGACTTTGGCCTCAGTTTCCTAACCTGAGAAATGAGGAGACAAAAAGGACCAGCCTGCGGGGCGGGCGTCTGGGCCTCACGGGCGTTTGGGGGGTGGGGACCCAGTTAGACTCAGTGGCCCCTCTCTGTGCCCCATGCCGGGTGCCCCCAACATCTGGAGCCATTCTTCACGTAGGCCACGTTAGACACCATCTCCGTGGCCTACCGTTCTGTGGTCTTAACAAACGCACAGTCATGGATCCTCCCAACATTCTAATTGGCGGGAAAGCGGCGGTGGGTGGACGCCGCCGGCCCCTGCCTCGAGCCGCCGCCCCTACCCCCACTCCCGCGGCCCCGGGAAGGAGGGACAGCCAGCGCTGGGGTGGGACAGGCTCCCGCAGCGTCTGGGCGCTGCCACCAATTACGTGGCTTTGGGAAGATCACTTCTGCGTACCCTACGTTCCTCTTCAGCAAAGTAGAGACCCGTCTGGCAACGGGTCGGAAGCTTGGCCCTTGCAGCCGGGGGGGGGGGGGGGGGGGGCGTGGATTTGCCTCAGCACTCCCCACCCCCGCACTTCTTGGGTCTTGTCCCATGTTCACCCGTGACCTCCTTCCCTCGCGATGTCACCAGAGCATGCAGGGTGACATCATCGGCCTCAAGAGGGACTGGGAGTCCCGACACGCCACCCCACACGGGAACCTTGAAGGCGTGACACTGAGTGACACTCTGGCCCCCGAGGCCCCAGAGCATTTTGTTCTGTGTAGAAAATGTCCAGGACGGGCAAATCCGAGGGGATGGAAAGCAGATCGGGGGCAGGCCAGGGTGGATGGGGGAGGCAGGGGGCATGCCTGGGGTTCATTTCTGAGTGCGGGGCTGTTCCACGCTGACTGTGGAGATGGCTGCAGGCGTCCATCCGCGAACGTCCTGAGAGCCAGAGCGCGGGGAGCTTTGGACAAGAGGGTCCCGTGCTGTGGGAATATGTTTCCATGCTGCTGTTTGCAGGGCAGTAGCGAGACAAGGAGTCCCACGGTGCACGGACTGGCGCAGTGGGCAGTGGCGGTGGCGGGTGGGGGGAAGTGGCTGCTGTCCGCACATCCAGCCGCTTGCCTAAGGGCTGCGTGTCTAACTGGGGGTCAGTAGTTAGGGGACAGTCGGGCCTCTGGGGCCCCAACTCCTGTGTCTGAAGGCAGGGGGAGGGGGCTGGCCAGCAGGGAGGCCACCTTCCCTGGGGATGAGCATGTCTGCTCCATGCCTGGACGCTCCCGCAGTCCCGCCCCAGGCCCAGTCTGCAAGTCCGGGACCTCGGCGCTGGCTAGTGGGGTGTTGTCCCAGGCCTGCCCCCTCAGCCTTTGTCTCCCTGGCTTTGCAGAGCAGTAGGGGCCACTGCCCTGGGCCTGCCATCCCAAGGGACCCCAAGAGATCCTTCCGTCACTGAGCAACAGCCTGCTGGAGGGCCTCTGGCTGGAGAACACAACCTCTGTCTGCTCCCCTTCTCGTCCTGCACGGTGCTAAGTGGCCTCCAGATCACGGCCCCAGGGCTCCTGCCCCTGTTGGCAGATTTCTTCAGGGGACCCCTAGTCCTGGGCAGAAGCAAGGGTGTCCCCTTCTGCAGGCTCCCTGGCCCCCACCTCTTTACTGCTTTGGTTTCTCACTCCTTCCAGCCAGGTGGCCTCTGTGTCAGGCGACATCCTGCCTCAGGGCCTTTGCACTGCCTCTGCCCACTTCCTAGAAGGCTCTTCCCCCAGAAACTCGCATGCCTCTTCCTTCACCTCCTCCAAGTCTTTACTCAAACTTCTCCTTCTCTATGAGGCATTGAGGACCATCCCTCTTAACACACAGTCCCTACCCCCCTGCATTTCTGATCCCAGAGACCCACTTAAATTTCCTCCATCCTGCTTACCATGGTGGGAACAACTTGATATTTTAATTTGTGTGTGATCTGCTTTTCTCCAGTAGAAGGTGAGTCCCATGAACGTGGGTAGTTTGTCCTCTCTGTCTAATCCTGTCCCCCACCCACCCCATGCCTAACATAGAGTAAGGTGCACACCACATAGCTGTGGCGAATAAATAAAGGTCTTGCCCCATCCATGCCCTCCGGAACACAGAGCGGCAGCTTTCCCTGATCCTTTGATGAAGGCTGGAAAGCCAGTAGACACGGATCCTGACCGGAGCCTGCCACGCAGGAGAGGTGCTGACGTGAGTCCCCCCTTGGCTGCAGCCCAGGGAGCTTGACGCTCAGCAGTCGAGACCAGCATCCAGAGGAGGAGAATCCTGGCATAAAGGTCAGGGCAGCCTGCTTCAAAGAGAACACCAACTGTCCAGGAAGTGTAGTATTTTCTGGGGCAGCCACTATGGGAAACAGTCTGGTGGTTCCTCAAAAACTTAAATATAGAATGACCGTGGGACCCAGTGCATCCACTTCTGGATATGTCCCCCCAGTAACCAAAAGCAAGGTCTTGACATGTTCCCAAGGGCATCACTCACAACAGCCCAGAGGGGCAAGCAACACAAGTCTCTCTTTGGGGATGAGCGGAGAAGCGAAACGCGGTCCGTCCGTGCAGCGGATTATTGGGAAGGCTGTGCGGACACCTGTCCCACCCAGCGGGGTCAGCCCGTCACAGCAGGACCGACACTGTGCACATCCCACTCACAGAGGCCCCAGGAGGAGTTGGGTCCAGACACAGGAAGTAGATGGGGGGGTGGAGTGGAGAGGGGGTATCTAATGGGGACAGAGTTTGCCTGGGAAGATGGGAACGTCCTGGAGACAAGTGGTGCTGGTGTTCGTACACGTGGACGTGCTTGGAGCCACAGAACCATAGGCTTCGACACAGTTAGGATGGTCAGTTTCATGTTATGTGCGTTATTTTACCACCGTTTCCAAAAATGACACATTTTCACACCGGAGGTACGCGAACGTGAATGACTGGAAAAGGAAACTGTAAGTATGTGACGGACGGGCGTCCCTGCCCTGCCGAGGACGGTCACATCTTCCCGCTTCCACAGGTGACAGCCGCGGCCTTGCGGTCTTTATCCCAGGAACGAGCTCAGCCCGCGAAGGCCTTGTCACCTGGGTGAAGATGGGGCACCATCCCCCTCCCGCCTGCACCCCCGCCCCGGGCCCCTGTCGCTGCCTGAGACCTGATGCCACCCGTGGTCTTGGTCCCGCAGGGTGCACGGGCCGCTGTGGGCCCCTTCCAGCCCTCCTGCCTCCTGCCCGCCTGCCGGGACTACTGGACCTACCCGGGCTCGCTCACCACGCCTCCGCTCAGCGAGTCCGTCACCTGGATCGTCCAGAAGCGGCCCATCGAAGTGGCTCAGGACCAGGTGAGCGGGGCCCGAACCAGCGTGGGGGCGGGACTGAAGCCGCGAGAAGATGCCGCGAGCAAGGGTCAGGGTTTCCTCGTCCGGCGCGGTTCGGATGTCCCCCTGCGAGGACTTTCTGGCGGAAACAGGAGCTGGGTGGACCGGCACACTCGGGCTCGGTCTGATTTCAGTGGCTTCGGACTCAGACTCGCCGAGTCTCCCTGACGACAGACCACCGAGCGGGGTCGGGGCTTGGCTCTGGTGTGTGCCGGGCTAGAGCTACTTTACAAGAACAGAAGTGAATTAGAACCGGGATACGGGTCCCCGTCACAGGACCTCGTGGGTGTTTGCAGGTGAACAAATTAACTGAGGAAGGAGAATGTCGGTGATTTCTGCAAAGCCGTGGAAGAAGGTAGATTGTTGGAGGAGAAGAGATTTCCGAGTTTGTCCCACTTACTTGGGACGATACAACAATCAAGGTTTCTGAGGTCCCTCTCACAGGCTGAACTAAGTTATGGACATTGAGAGAAGATTCCAGAATGATTAGGTCAGTCAGCTGTTACTACAATAATGCTACTTAACAAAACACCCCAAAACCCAACGGCTCCTGACAAGCATCTCTTTTTCCTGCTGTGGGTCTCTGCGTTGGCTGTGCATGGCAGGCGTTGGTGGTTTGGGTCGGGCCCAGTGTGTCCCTGCTCGTTGGACCAGTGGTTACCCAGAGCTGAGTCCATGGCGCACGACAGAAATGCAAAAGACCAGCAGACCCCACGCGCTCCCCTCTCACTGGCCACAGCAGGGCCCGGTGGCTGAGGTCCGTGGGGCGGTGGGGAGGAGGGGAGCGCGTGCTCACGGAGCAAAGCCCTAATCTCGCACACAGACTTACACCAGAAAGTCAACGCTGGCTGTCCCAGGGTTTTTGCAGGGTTCTCATTTCCTTCCTCTTCCTTTTCCAAATAGTGCCCCCAACCCCAGCCCACCAAAGTAAGAGGATATCACTTGCTTACATTTTTAAAACCTAGAGTATCCTTTTTCTGGAAATCCCGAGTGTGCGGGGACAGCCTGTCTGTGTTGGGCATTCAGAGTCCGGGGAAGACAGACATATAGCAAGCTTGCCGCCATGGCCGCCGTCCCCGTGCGGGGCAGGCTTCCCGCCCGTCGCGTCTTCCTCCTGAGGCTCTGGCCTCACCATGCCGCGAATATCCTCTCAGGCAAAAGTCACCAAATGACGCTGTTTGCTCTGGAAGGTGGAATGATCCCGTCTTCTCCCACACCAGGACTGTTAGAGACACAAGGAGGACCCTGGCTGAGAAATGGCCCCTGGTCACCCAGCCCCCTCCTGTCGCTCAGCTCACCTGTCATGAGCCCCCGTGAGTGCCCAGGATGGCAGCCACAGGGGGTTGGACATGGGTAGCAGCAGAAGCAGTGACGACGGACACTGAGGACGGTGTCTGCACTGTCGTCTGGGGGAGAGACAAACGAGAGTTAACCCTTTGAAGATGGGGGCATGTATGACAGAGCAATGCTGAGTGGGACTGTCCCCGGGGGCCGGTGGAGAGACGCTGCTTCCTGAGCAAGCCGTGCAGCGCGCCGTGGGCTGAGCCCCGGGAGCCAATGTCCTCCATGCCCTCCACGACTCTGGGGCAGCCGCCGGCTCGCTCCCCGCGCGGTCGCTGTGCAGACACAACCCCAGCTCCCTGGGCCATCGAACCTGCGAGTGACCCTCGCGGAGCTCCTCGGTACACCCTGAGGACAAACGAGGTGACTGGAAGTGGACCGGCAGCTCCTCCGGCGAGACGCGAGTCTGTGGTCACCGCCTCCCACTCGTCCTCACTTGACCGAGGCTCCCGCTGTTCGGTACCTGTGGCTGTGTGGTGACTCCCAGTCACCACCGGCATCCCCCAGAGCTGCGGGGGTCAGAACATGGGGTGGTTCCGGCTTGGGATCGCTCGTGACCTTGCAGTCACGTGTTTGGGGGCTCCGAAGGCTTGAGCCGGGCTGGAGGCTCGTGGCCAAAACGGTGTCTCGGCGGCCGGCACACTGGTGCTGGCTGGTGGCTGGGGCCTCGGTGCCTCTCGCAGGCGCTGCTTGGACGTCCTCACAACATGGCAGCTGGCTTGTCCGGGGCAAGGGTGTTGGAGACCAAGGCGGAAGCTTGATGGCTCTTCTGACCACACTCGGCTGTCCCCTCCACCACCTCGTGCTGGCCGTGCTTGGCCATCTCTGATTCAGCCTGTTGGGGCGGGGGTGGGGTGCGGAGCGCGTGTGCACAGGGCAGGAGGGCCACGTGGGAGCTGGGTCACACTGCACCTGCACCCCGCCCACGCTGGCTGCTCTCTGTTACAGCTGGCTGCCTTCCGCACGCTCCTGTCTTCTGCGCTCGGTGAAGAAGAGCGGTCCATGGTGGACAACTACCGTCCACTTCAACCCCTGATGAACCGCGAGGTCCGTTCCTCCTTCCAGGCCACGGAAGGGGGCATCTGAGCAGATGTCGCCTCTGACGCTAAACACAGAGAAAGAGATCGTTGTTCCAGTCCCCGTGCTCTTCAGCTGCAGGGAAAGGAAACCACTTCAAAGCAGCTTCAGTGGGGTGGGGTACGGAAATATGGGACACGGGGTAGCTCGGGGCCCATGGCAGGGCCCAACCGAGCCCCCGCTGACGGCTGACCCAGGCCGCCAGCCCGGCCCCTGTCCGTCCACGCAACCTTGTCTCAGACAGGCACCCTCTGTGTTTCCACACACAGAGGGACGGGGACCCACATGCATCTTCCCGGCCTCCAGACTCCTGGATGTCTCGGTGTCCTGGGGCGGCCGTGACGTATGACCACAAACCAGCGGGCTGACTCAACAGTGGTGTGTTGCCTCCCAGCTCCGGGGACTAGAAGCCCACACTGGTTCTGCCGGGAAGCTGGCAGGCCACCATGGCTTCCTGGCCTGCCCGGCCCCCAGAGGCGGCCTGCATTCCCTGCTCGAGGCCCAGGGGTTCCCAGCGTGGCCCCTCAGGACCCCGTGCCATTGAGCTATGGTCCTTCTGCTTTTTTTTTAATTATAGTGAAACACACACAGCATCATTTACCATCTTACCCATTTCCAAGTGATCAGGTCCGTGGTGTTTATTGCGTTCAGAACGGTGTACAGCTGTCCCCACCGCCCGGGCCCAGCACCCACGTCGGAGCGGGAACTCTGCCCCCGCCCGCGTCCAGCCTGCAGCAGCTGCCCTTCCAGGCTCTATCTCTGGACTTCGACGGTGCTGGAGTAAAACACGAGCAGAACCGTACAGTATCTGTGCTCCCGCGTCTGGCTTCTTTCCCTCGGCGTCCCGTCCCCAACGTTCACCCATCTTAGTGTTGGGGTCAGACCTTCCTTCCTCCGTGCGGCTGAGGAACGTCCTGACGGCAAAGGCCAATTTTATGCTCACAGTGTCACAGATATCCCCTCTGGTGGCCAGGCCACCTAGGAGCAAGCCCTCGCGTCGTCTCCCAGTGTGACCTTCCCACCTGCTGCGCGGTGAGGTGAGACGCGGCTCAGGGCCTGGCACGTTTTCTCCCTCTTCCTTTCCTAAATAGCCTTTCTGCCCCCTAAAGTAAGGAGGTATTACTTGTTTACGTTTTAAAACCTCGGGGTATCTTTTTCTCTGGAAATGTCAAGAACACGGAGACGGCCTGTCTCTGCTGGGCGCTCAGAGCCCAGGGATGGAGAGACACGCAGCGAGCTCGCCGCCACGGCCCCCATCCCGGCGCAGAAAATACGGAATCTGTGGAGATACAGCAAAAAAAAAAGAGAGAGAAAAGAAAAGAAAAAAACTCCACTTCCTTTTCGGGAGACAAAAAACAGACCTCATACAGTCCACAAACAGCATTTCGAATCAGAGAGAAGGTGTGATGTGGGCGGGGCTTGACGTGCAGAGATTTTCATTTCTCTCCTATCTCAGAGCTCCCCGTACTGTGTCCACAGGGCACTTAAAATCTGTCAAGTGCAACTGAGGAACAGAATTGTGACTGTACATAATTTTAGTTACTTGAATTCAAATGCCGCCCATGACCAGCCGGTGGCCGCCGTGTTGGGCAGCGCAGCTTTCTAACGGGACCTGAGGTATATTACTTGGCTGCCCACTTGAGAGCTGAGGTTTCTGAGGCCCTGCAGACAGGACCTGCGGCCACCTGGGATGTCAACTCCAGCCTCTGGGGGCATCACAAACTCCCTGCCAGCAGGTGACCAGTGCCTCCAAGGGGAGGTGGCTCTGTGTACTGGTCACGTCATTTGATTGCAACAGAAATGGCTGAAAATAAACTTGTTCTGACTCTCACGAGGGATGAGTTTGGGGGTGATGCTGGGTGGGAGAGCATTGGCTTGAAGCCGCCAAAATAGATATCGAAGAAGGAACCCACCGAAATGGACGTGTTTCTATTCCACTTCTAAGTGGATGTCCCCCATCACTTCACCCGTAATTATAGAGGAGTTTACTGACCAGCAGAGCATGCCACTACCAGGAACTGGCACAGCTCGGGGGGCCCTCCCTACCCAGACTCCGGGCTGCTTTCCTGGTCAGCAACCCTCACCCCCACTGCATGTCCAACCGCATGGGCCCAGCCCTCACCCCCAAAGTCTGCGGCTCCCTTGCTCTGCAGAACGGTGTTTGAGAAAGCTCCCCAAGTGCCTCGCTGGGGTGGCTGGGGACAAGACCTCGGCCATCCCACTTAGCTCTTGTCACCAGCTCTATGGAACTTCTGGGAAACGGCCTCCAGGTTTTAATGGGGAAACTGAGGCACGCTTGAGAGATGGTGACTTGCTGAGGAAGAGGCAGGGGTGGAGGGAGTGCTGCTCTCTGATGGGAGGCGGCCCACGGAGGCCCAGGCAGCGCTCGCTCTCGGCTCTTGCCTCCTCTGGTGTCACTTAAAGACAAGGAAAAGGGCCGTCCCCCATCCAGAAGCTCAAGCCCTGAGCTGTTCTGTTTAGGAAAAACCTCACGTTGTGATACCCTCCAGTCGCGCCTTAACGGACGCTTCCAGCCAAAAAAGGCACCGGCTCAGACCTCCCGCAATTTCCGAGAACCCCGCTTGCAGATAACACAGGCACGTGGGTGACTGGAGAACGCGGTCTCTGCGCTGTCCCTCTCCATGGGGACTTTAGGGGCAGAGAAAGGCCGAGGTGTGCAGAGGAGGAAGAGGGGGCTGCAGAGCCCGGGCTCGGTTCCACCCGCCCCGCAGTAACGTCGTGTCCCCACCAGAAACCCAGCAGCAGGTAGGAGAGAACTTTCATCCTCGGTTCTCTTGCTGATGTAAGCCTTGCCTCCGCGTGTGCAGACGGATGCCTTTGTCTCCTGGTAGGTGTTCTCTTTTGTCAGTTATTTTTAAAAGCCAGCGTGAACCCTGGGACGCTGAGACTCTCCCGGGACCCACGCCGAGCCTGGATGCATTGCCCTGAAACCACAAACACCCCGAGAGGAAAGACGTGGCTCTCAGCCCTCAAAGCAACAGTACAAAAAACAAACACAGACGCTCCCTCTCCCTGTTCCAAGTGGCGGCCAGACGCAGAGGTCAAGGTCCGCAGTTTGCGGGACGGACTCTCAGGGCGGCACATTGTGGCCAAGGTCCGTATTGTGGAAACTCTGGCCCAGACTTGAAAGCTCAAAGGCCCCTCCCTGTGCTTTTATGTTATTTTCTCATTTTGTAAAATACAAACGGGTAAGAAGTGCTGGTTCCTGGCAAACTGCCATCCCTCGCTCCCTCCCCTCCCAGGCCGGACCCGAGACCCGAGATGCTCGCTCCTGGTGGCAGCCCCACGCTGCCCCTGCAGACAGAACCCACTGTGAGTTCTAATTCGGATGGCCCCTGCCCACCTCCCTCCTGCACCCCTCCCCCCCAAGTCTGCACCAGCCGGGAGTCTGGACCCCTTTCACCCCGCATCTCCCCGGCCTGGACGTCCAGCTCTCCCACCCACCGCCCTCTGCTCCTCCCTCTCTCTGGAGAAACACCTGGAATACGAGGTCCCCCGAGCCTTCGCCGGCATCCGTCCTGGGGTTCCCGTCCTGGGCGCTTGGCCTCCTGCCAAGAGGCGCCCACCGGCTACATCTCAGTAAACGGCACCTCCACCCCCAGGGCCAAGGCCAGCCTTGGGAGCTCCTTGGAGCTCCTGCCCCTCGCTCCCCACTTCCCAGATAGCCATGGATCGTGTTGGTGGCAGCCCTAGCCCGTTACGGGTTCTAGTTCCACTCGCCGTGCTCCATGGTCCGTGCCGCGGCCCCAGCTACCGCACCTCCGGCCAGAATCGCGCCGGCAGACTCTCGATGCCACCCCTTCTTTCCAGCTCTCCCGGCTCTCGCCTAATCCACTCTCCTAACACATCTGTACCCCAAGCTCCCTGCTGGGTCGACCTCTGAGCGTGGAGTCCTCTGTGCTGGCACTGCCGCCCCACAGCTGTTTGAGTGAGTCCTCCTCTTCCTCCTCCCTGCAGCCCTCCAGCCCTGCGCTTGGATGGCGCACTCATCCTGTCCCTGGTCCACAGCTTGTTTCCCTGCGACCAGGGGTCCTCATCTACCTGCTGACTTGCAGCCCAGAGAAAAGGCTCATCTGGGGAAACGGAGCGAGGAGCGCCGATCCGTGATGCGCAGGGGCTGCCTGCCGTCTCCAAGTCAGCTGTCCGTGCTCTTGCCTCAAGGCCTTGGGCCGTGCTGTTCCCTCTCCTGGGAATGCCCTTCCCCTCCTGGCTCTGCTCGTAAACTTCTATCATGCAAGGTTGGCCCAACTGCCTCCTCTGCAGTGATTCTTTCCTGGGCTCCTCCCCAGAGAACTGACCCTCTCCTCTGTGCTACTGCGTGTCCTACCGATGCGTGTGACAGCAAGAGAGGGAGAGCGTGAAGCAGCATGGAACAGTACGGAGAAGATGTGGAACAGCATGCAACAGACACAGAGCAGCATGGAACAGACACGGAACAGCATGAGGCAGACATGGAACAGCATAACCAGCATGGAACAGACACGGAACAGCATGAGGCAGACATGGAACAGCATAACCAGCATGGAGCATGACGGAGCAGCTAGGAGCGTCATGGAACAGCACGGAAAGCATGAAGTAGCCTCGGTGTTCGGCCCTCACCATAGAAAGCGTTGTGTAGGGTGGGGAACAATATCCTCCCGGAGATTTCTGAAGTGTGGAACTGAAGTCTCACGTCCCCAAATCTACCTTTCTGCTCTGAGTCCTGTACCTGGCTTGGTGTGTGTGGCCTCTGACCAGCGGCCACTGTGCCCAAAACACAGAGGAAGAGCGGAGGACCCTGAGCGAGCAGCTCTGAGAACCGGGACTGCCGAGAGCATGGGTCTCTCCAGACTCCGCAGTTAAGAGAACTACTCGCGAGGTGCGCACCTCAGGCCGGGCCCTGCTTAGCGCCAGACTGGAGGCTGCAGGACGAGTCCTGCCGACAACCCAGGGCAAGGTGGGAGCACGTTCAGTGTGAGAGTCGGCTCGCCTGTGCACCGACCGACACGCAGGCTCTGCTCTCACATCTGCCACCAAGCAGGGAGAGGCCTGGCCCCAAGTCCATGGAAGCCTTAGCATGGATGTCAACAGGAAAAAAGCTCTCCTGTTTCCGCCACACTTAAGATACGTTCACCAACTGTTGCATTGAAGATTAAGGCTGTGTATTTTTTCAATGCCAAGATTATACTCCATCAGAATTTCCTGTGTCAGTTTGGGAATTTTTTTTTCGTAGTAGCATTGAAATAGGGAAACTATTTTAAAGTAAAATCTTCTGATCCTTTTACTACATTCTGGAAATTCAGAGGGGGTCGCCCTACAGGTGTTCCAGGTCCCTGAACACATAAACACAAATCAAAGTTACGGACAC